TTATTTCATTCCTTAACTTTCAAAAATATATAATATTATCAGTTAATTTGTTAAATTTATTAAAATATAAATATTTTTAATTTTTAATATTATAATTATATATATTTTTAACCTTGAAACTTATAAATTCAAAACTAAAAATATATATGGATAAATTTGCCATCTTAACAGATTAACATATTTTTAGTCTCCAGACATGATATTTGTAGGGCTCATATTTTTGAACGTTCATGTAAAGCAAACTGCGTCTTGATGGCATCAACGACTCTATTGTACTCCCATGTTCTCTATGTGCAATGACCATAATAACCCTATTGAAGAAATGCAAAACCATTTTATAGGTACCATGAAATTAAAAAATCTATGACCAATAAAAAAAAAGACCTCATGAAATTAGATGGAAAAAACCATGAGGTAAGAGACTGCATATCTTGTCTTTTTTACTTTTTCAGGGTCAATAATTGCAGGCAATGGGTCTTCAGTAATTGTCTTTTCTTTTTCCTTGCAGATGGAACCTCCATTTCCAAATAAAGGGAAGATAATTCTACTTGCTAAGTAGGAATCCAAGAAAATAGTGGATAGAGAAACGAAAAAGACCAAAAAAAGGGAAAGAAGCAAGCACCTTCGCAGCTTCGCCTTTTTCCAGGGAAAAAAAATTAGAACCCAGATATGAACATGGGGATGCTTAGTGTGCCTGTCTACCCACACCCCTTTATTGGGAAGTTTTTAGCTGTAAAACAACTTGCAACGGGAGACAAAACTCGAAGAAATTTTAGGGGTTAATTAATTAAAAAATATGATAGGACTAAATGAATAAATAACTCACTATGTTTTGATGATTCTGAAAATTTTTAAAAATTCCATCAGTCTATAGATTTTGGGTACAATTGACAGTAAGGGCTCATTGAATTGATGGAATGGCCCTATACTTAGTCACACGACTCACACCCGACATATTAGATGTCATCAATGACATAATATTAGCCGATGGTCCTTAAAGAGGTACGTCCCTCCCCTGATATTATTGGTATTTAAATGATGGGTTTGTTTAATTTAT